CTGGTTGTGTTAATTAGGAGAAATTTCAGCGTTTTGGTAGTTAAATAAGCAACTTAAAATCTGCCGGTTTTCGGCCTCCTATGTTTGTCTTTGTTACTGTTGCTAAACATGTCTCTTCTTTGCCCTGCCCATTTGGTTGGCTGATCTTCCTGCTTAGTAGACTTCTTCGCAACGATTCGATCGTCATCCTAGAGCGCATAGTATTTCGCGGTCGCGAAGACCTCTGCTAGAGTTTGGCTGTGAGTGATAGTCAGCTCGCGGTATAAGTTATGTTTAGCTGGAAGACCTTTCTTGAAAGCAGAGGACACGATTCGGTCGTCGCATCTTACAATGTTGGCATTTTCTGCTTTGAATTTCTTGATGTAGTCTCGAAGGGATTCATCGAACTTCTTGCTTAGGTTGTACAAGTGGTCAGGTTTCTTCTTGATCGTCCGGTAAGAAGTGTATTCTTTAGTGAAAATGTGAGCTAGCTCCTTGAAGCAACTGATCGACCTTCGACCTGGATGGCAAGGTGTGGAACCAATCTTGGGTTGCTCCTCGTAAGGTCATTGCAAACAACTTGCACATGTCGGCTGCGCAGATCTCACGGCCTTGGGTTCCGGGCCGAAGGGATGTGCGTTGACACGTGGCTTCCTGCTTTTGGATGCGGTGCGGTTGTGCGCGAGCGTGCCAGCACGGTCTACTGTGCGTCGAGAGGTTGATGTGGATGGAAATGGTTAAGTGGTGCGCCTGTTTGAACTCATCTTCTAATCAAACGACTGTGGCCGAGAGAGGAACTGATCTCGGCTGCAAGGTTCACGGCCTGAGCTACAAGGCCGTTTAGGGGTGGTGCTGATGGTGGGTTTTGGGCGGTGCTCCGGCGCGCTGCTCAGTGAGCGGCGGTCGTATGATATATGGGGTGAATGAATGAGTAACCGAGATGGTGCTCCGGCGCCTTGAAAATCAAGTGTCGTATGATATATTGATGAATGGATTTTCCTTACAAACTAACACTACTCCTAGGAAAGCAAGTAAAGATATTGAAAGTGCATTATAGGAAAATTTGTTTGGTGTTTGAACCCTTTGAAAGTAGTCTTGAGCCTTGTATTTATAGGAAGAGTTCCTGGAGGAGTAATCGAGGCTAAAATCCTGCGTAGTGGAGTCTGATTAGAGCAAGTGGGTAGTCCAATCGACATTTGGGATTGTGAAGTATAGTGGTGTGACCCCATAAATCCTGGTGAATCTCGGCCGCCGCCCTGATCGTGGGGTCTGCGCCTCTGGCCGTGGGGCCGCATTTATTGTTCTGATAGCTGGTCACCCAATCTCTCAAGCTGCAAGAATTCTTGTGAGAATGTCTGCGTCTAATCACTCTGTTTCCTGTCGCCACAACCTGACTTCAGTCACTTCCCACCTTCCCTCGTGCATTAAATGCTTATTTGTGGCCAGTGGGCTTGCTGCAATAAATAGAGGCATTACTTCATTAAATGAAGCATGAGACCCTGCTATCACGTGATGATTTGATTTTTAATACCATTGGCTGTGATTTTGTTCGGCCTTGGACTCGGCCTATTATCGAGGCCGAGATGATCGTGCCTTAGCAACTTTCTTTTGTCTTCAGGAGGGCCAAATATCTTGGCGAAACGCTGCGTTTGAGCAAATGCCAGGGCCGAGAAAAGGGGCTCCTTCGGTGAGTTCATGGCCGTGATTTTTTAGGCACAAACAGCACATCAGCGTGTCGTTGGCCTTGTAGAGGATCATGACACTTTTGAAATGCTTTAGACGGCTCTCGGGATCGGAATCCCCTTTGAAATGCGTGAACGAAGGCATTGAGAATCGCTTCGGGGGAGCAGCCTGCTCGATTTCGATGGTGAAAGGCGTAGAGTTTGCTTGGTCCACCTCCCTACGTAGAGCATCTTCGAAATTTCTGCCAATCTTTAAGTTTCGAAGTCGGTCGTTTACAAGCTTCTCGACGTCTTTCGAGCGCATAACTTGCCGATCACATTGGTGACCTTTGTGATTCAGGCGGGGATGGTTGACTTCCTTGTTGACTTGTAGAGGTCAACTTCCTTGGTTGCCCTGCCAGTGAGGTAGATTGGTGGATTGAGCTTACGAAGATTCCTCCACGAGTTATCACTACAAGAAAAACATGATTAGTTGACACTTCATTGGTGACGTTTTTGCAAAAACCATCAACTATAATGCTTGGTTTTGACGCTTTTTAAAAAGCGTCAACTATATGTGGCATAATCATGACGCTTGTTGAATACCGTCAAGTAAGACTATATATACATGACGCTTTTAGAAAACCATCAAGTAAGAGCTTTATAAAACTTACGTTTTGTACAAAACCTGACGTTTTCTACAAAACCATTTTGACTAAGCGGCATAATTTTTTAATTAATTATTTTTTTTGGATGGACTGAGCGGCTGAGTTGGTATCTTAAATATCTTTCCTTCCAACAAAATAAAAAATAAAAAATTTCATTCCTAAAATTCACGAACTGTAGGGTTCTCTCCTAAGGCCCCGTTTGGTTCACGGAATGGATTTGAGGGGAAATCAATTCCCATGTCATTTCCCAAGGAATGGAAATGAAAGATTCCTTTCCCACGTTTGGTAATGTTGGGAAAGTAATCGGGAGATTTCATTTTGTTTCCTTTTGTGTGATAGCCAAATGCAACAAATTCCCCAATCTTAGTTTTTACACAATTTCAAAAATCATACCAAACACAAATGCAACTTCAAATCTCACCAAAGTTGTCCTCTCACAAATGAATCACTCAGAAGAGGGCTTCAATGCATCACTCAATTATAAACATGCACTATAAGGAAAACATGATTAGTTGACACTTCATTGGTGACGTTTTAGCAAAAACCATCAACTATAATGCTTGGTTTTGACGCTTTTTAAAAAGCGTAAACTATATGTGGCATAATCATGACGCTTATTGAATACCGTCAAGTAAGACTATATATACATGACGCTTTTAGAAAACCATCAAGTAAGACCTTTATAAAACTTGACGTTTTCTACAAAACCTGACGTTTTCTACAAAACATTTTGACTAAGCAGCATAATTTTTTAATTAATTATTTTTTTTTGGATGGACTGAGCGGCTGAGTTGGTATCTTAAATATCTTTCCTTTCAACAAAATAATAAATAATAAATCTCATTCCTAAAATTCACGAACTGTAGGGTTCTCTCCTAAGTTCACAGATCTGAGCTTTTCTCCTCTATCTTTCTTTCCATGGCCTCCTGATCTTTTCTGCACAACTAGACTTCTCCATTTTTAGATCTGGTGCTACCCTATTTCTCTTCCTTATTTTCTTATTTTCCCCTTCTTCTCTTCACCTCTGTCTTTTTCTCTTCCTTATACATGGTTCTCAAATCTTGACGCCGAACGAGATCGATAAGTTCTTTGCTCCTATCTCTCAGTATTTCTAGGTCAAAAAACTTCCAATTGGGTCTCGATTGTTGCCCGTAGAGTCAAATCTGCAAAAAATTTATAGGTTTGCAAAAATCAGGCATGCGTTAGTGGAAATCAGGGGAAACCTCTTCAAATTCAACCTCGGTACAAGGTGGCTTTTGAGAAAAATTGCACTGCTGTAAGTTCCAGTAACATTCTTTTTTTCTTCTCCTTCTTTTCTGTGTTTGTATGAGTTTCGGGCCAAACACCCTGTGTGGGTATGATAATATCATATTTAGTAGCGCATTGTTGCTTTGAGTTAGGGCAGTCCAGAGAAGGAGAAAAAATTGGTTATTGTGCTGATATATTAGATGACACTAGTAGCCTTTGCTGATGTAGTTTTCTCTATGTAGCTGAAAATCGGATTCACAATTTCACAATGACATACAGGTACAAAATGAATTTATTTTCTTCTTCTTTTTTTGCCAGATTGGTAGATATATGTTCTTAGAGTTGGATCCGTTATTTCAGTAAAGGCTGACCAGAGTTTTTGTTTTTTTTCTTCTTACCATAAATACTGTCATTTGTGGAAAAAAAGTGGCTTAGAAGTTGGAACAATAACGGATTCTTTAAACAAAGGAGAGACAAATTGTTGACTCAAGTACTGGTATAGGAGATTTCAGCACTAAATTGACTAAGAAAAGACTGAATTTAAAAAAAAACATGGACTTTTGTTGCAAAATACATATTGTGGTGCCCTAGTATGAGTTTGAATTATTGGGCCACCAATGTTCAGGTTTGTCTTAAGCTAGCCGCAGAACTTGATTTTATTTATTTATTTTTCATTTTTCCTTTTAACTTTTTCTTATACACATGGATTTTACTTGAGGCATGGCTACTTGGTCTTGTAGGTAGAAGAAAGGGATATTGAAATTTATTTTCTCTTCATATGGCTATTGGGGATATAAGGAGTATATGAATTTTAAAGGATGAGAATGGTGAAGATAGATGTGGAGTCATCAGAACAAGAAGTGCGCGATTCCAATCTTAAACCTTCAGCAGACAGGTACATTTTATTTTATTTTTTCTATTTAAAACTTATTTAGGTAGTTTGGATTTTGGTTTGCTATATACAATTAAAATTGTTAAAATTCTTTGTTTTCTTTTTGGTCTCGCCACTTGACTTTAAGATGCAAAATGTACAGTTTTGTTTCTATAGATATCACTATTAGGTTCAATTATTTGGTCTTATGTAGCAGTTATTGTTATAATATTCAATTGGGCAATATTTTGAGTTGCTTTTTAATTTTGCAGGTACATGCTATAGTACATTAGCTGGTCAGATGGTAGTCTTGAAGAAAAAAGGTCAAGGAATTAAATTTATGTTTTTTGTTAATTGTGGTGATAATTTTTCTCATTGATTAGACTTTTGGTTTCCTCTCTTTAAAGAATTCCAAATAACTTTCTAAACAACACAGATTGGGTAGGAATTGGTTAATCTGTTATTTTATATGGCAAGTTTCAGCTTCAAAGATTTGATTGGATCTCCTCTTCTTTTAACGAATACAATTGTAAAAGAGAGATTTGATAAATTGAGGATATGTGATTGTTTTTTAAAGTTAAAAAGTAAAAGGAAATGTGATTGTGTGTACTCATACTTTGTGCATAGTTGGCTTAAAGTCTTTCTCTGCATTTGAATCAAAAGAAGTGGGCATTTGTATCTGGTAATGAATATGTGCATTGTACCTTGATGTTTTCATTGGTTGTATCTCTTAACTCTTTAAAATTTATGTCTTATCTATTGGCAGATTGATGCGTTCATGGAAACTTAAACTACAAAGACAAGTGTTATGGAAAGTCAAGCTTCTAAGTTAGAAGTTTTATGTTTTATGTTTTATGTTTTATCGTACTAGATAGCTTGGTTTATTTCAGCATGTATTAGGAGTTTTTGAATGTTTGTATCAAAATACTCTACTTTAATGGATATTAAATTTCAGCTTGACATTTTTTTAATATATTCATTTAGTTATTAAATCCTTTGAAACTTTAGTTGTACAGGAAGCTCTCTTTTCTTTTTTTTTTCTTTTTTTTTTAATTTCAGTTGTACAACTCTTGACGGCTAAGAACCGTCAAGAAAGATTTATTAAATGTCAGGAAATGTATTTGTTGATGCTTATTAAGCGACAAGAAAAGCCTTTGTTGACGGTTTTTCACTAATCCGTGATGCTTTTTACCCGTCAGGAAACACTATTGCTTGACGGATAATAAGTGTCAAGTATGGTGGTACCCTTTCCGGACACTGGCGTCGCTGACGCTTTTGGAACCGTCATTTAATG